TGTGTGTGTGTGTGTGTGTGTGTGTGTGTGTATAGATTTTACTGGTCCCTGGACATATATTTCAAGGACTTTATACTTAATAAGAAACTTTTCTGAAACTCTGAAAAATTATTGACATAAATAAACAAAAATTAACCTTGATATTTTATGTAGTTCTATTTTGATTTCCAATTCTAAACTGCTAAATTCTATCACAGTCAGGAGAATGGAGTCACAGGAGAGGAAAAAATTAGGAGAATTTATTTTGCAATCCCCAGAGACTTTCAAATTTAAATCACCAACAGTATAAAAAGGGTTTAGTAATAGTCTAATGGCTGTCCTCCAGAAATAATCTCCATCTCCATCTCCATCATAGTTTATGTGATGTGCTAAAATCTAAGGGGCATTTGAAAGGCATTTGTATTCAACTGGGGGAAATGCAGAGTTAACTTTTGCTCACAAAATGATGAATAAAGACTTTCTGTTCTGTATTCACATCTTGTTTCATTTCTCAGCTCAGTTAATGAATTACTTCAATAAATGAAATCAGCCAAACTACTCCATGTATTCTTTGTCTGGTCGGTGGGTTCAGTAAAAAAGTGAAAGCCAATAAGAATGAAAACACTTAATTTTTAGCTAACTTGTCAATTAAATTAGCCATTGTTAAGATAATACACACCATGGAGAAACCACCATAACACTTCCAGAAATAAAAGATGAATTCTTTCCTCTCGATGACAGCAGGCCCTTTTTAAAAATCTGCACCTATCACGTTCTCTAATGAGACCCCCACCCTCACTCCCTTCTGCTCTAGGGCTTGATTTCCTAGAATAAACCACTTCCCTAAAATTGCAAACATGACCATGTTCCCTCCCACTCCGGCCATAGGCACCCATGGATCCCCTTCCTAGAAGCTTCGTTCCTCATGGTCACTCTCCACCTGGGATATACATGGGAATCACCTGGGGAACTTTTAGAATCGTACCCAACCCCATCCAAAACCAACTGGATCAAAATCTTGGAGTGAGGCCTGGTCGCCAGTATTTTTATTAAGCAAACTTACATATAGTTGTAAGTATAGTTCGGGACAATTCTAATGTGTAGCCGGGAATGTGAACCAATTCTCTAATTAGGAGGCTTGATATAAAAATCTCAACTATATATAAGTTTGATTCTGGGTCTTTAAGGGCAGGTGTTAAAATTTACAAGCATTTCTGGAGGTTTTAAATCCACATGAAATCCTTTTCTTCATTGAACATAGAAGGAAATAAAGTGTTCTGGAAGGTCAGTGAGGCAGCCTAGGCTCCTTTGCAGTGAGGGAGTGGGCCTTCCCTGCTCTAGAGAGTGACTGGAGGAGGTCTCCTCCTTTGTGGAAAATGGAAAACCAACCGACCAAGCAAGTAGCCAGCCAGCCAGTCAGCCAGCCAGCCAGCCAACCAACCAACCAACCAATCTACCAGCCAGCCAGCCAGCCAGCCAACCAATCAACCAGTCAGCCAGCCAGCCAGCGCCCGCCACCGCCAACCAACCAACCAACCAACCAAACAACCAACCAACCAACCAACCAGCCAACCAACCAATTTCCCAGCCAGCCAGCCTATCAACCAACCAATCTACCAGCCAGCCAGCCAACCAACCAATCAACCAGCCAGCCAGCCAGCCAGCCAGCCAGCCAACCAACCAACCAACCAACCAACCAGCCAACCAGCCAACCAACCAATTTATCAGCCAGCCAATCTCTTAGGCTCTGGGGTCAGACTTTCATTGTGATTTTGAGAAAGTGACTTTTTCTCTTTGTGCTTCAGTTTCCCCACCAGCAGAACAGAGAGACACCAGGACTTCCCACAGTAGGCAGCTGTGAGAGTTAAATGATGTCACACTAGATCAAAGTTGAGCTTGGGTCCCAACACACTCTAAAACAGTGGTCGTTATTACTGCTGCTCCTGGCCCTGTTACCTTCTAGGAGTCACCACAGCTTTAAAGAACCCACAGGGCAGCCTTGACCTTGACGGCTCAAGAGGGTCAACAGCAGTTTTGTTTTCTAAACATTTCTCATGCCTGAAGTCTCTTTCATGCTTGTAACTAAGCACCAGTTTTGCTTGGCAGGTCAGTCAATGTCAGCAAGTGTTCTCGCATTATGAATGCGAGTACAGGTTATCACCTAATTGCTTATTCTAAGACATCATAAATTCACCCTCAGAAAATAGAAGCAAGCATAGTTGTTAAAAGTCTAGCTATTCCAGCTTTGTATGCTCTGGATTTGCAGGAGCCCACAGAAGGAATGAGTCTGTGCACCAAGTTCAAAGGCAGATCTCTCTTAAAGACCAGTGAATATATCTTAAAGATGACACGCATGTGAAAGGCCCAAGGCACCCAGCAACATCCATATCTGGGAGCTTATATCACTTACCTTTGAGAGGCGGCTCATTCTCTCTTCATTGTCTTCCAGGACACGCAAACTCGGAGGGACATACCAGAAGCAGACATTTGTGTGCTGAGGCTACAAAGAGGAAAGTAAGATTCACACTCAGCCCAAACTGGCGATTTTGAAAATTCCAAGGATATTTCTAATCTATTTATTCTGAAGCTTTGAATACGATTTCTATTTTTAAGTCCATGATCACCTTTAGAGTGCTTGACTTTCACAACATTATACAGTTATTTTTTCTGAGTTTGATTTTTACTCTAGCTCAGAATAGTTACCCTGTCATCCCTGCTTCTGCTTGGTTTTGGTTCCACTCACCCGGACAGAACATTATCGACATAAAAAATATCAGGGATAAGAATTGTAATTGACTAAACATGTTGGGATCGTAGAAATCAGAAGACATACCTTTCCATCGAACACCATTTCATATCCTTCTCGGTTTTTTATGATATTGTATAAATACTCTGCCAGCTCCAAACACTTGTCAATGTGTGCTTCAAACCCCGTAGTCCCCTAAGTAAGAGAAGAAGGAAGAGTCTCAGGCCGGCTGATAAAGGTGAGTGAGCACTCAGGCTGAAATGGAGGACCAGTGAATCCTCCAGACAGGTGGTCTTTCTACCGCTTCTGTCTCAGCTTTGCTCCGGCACCTTCCTTACATAAGACAGTGTTTCTGGAGGATTTTCTGGGCATTATTTCTCCTTTAATGTTCTCCTCTTCAGGTGTTTTTGTTCCCTTTCACATCTGTCATTACCGGTCTCCACGGCAACTCCTTTTGTTCAGAGCCTTCATTCCCCAGGCAATTATTTTGATTACTCAAGGGGAAAATTTGCCTCTGCCATTCATAGGGGTAATTGTGGCAGTCATTAACGACAGGAGGACTGGGCTATTCTCTTCCTGTGTATAAGCAGCATCATCAGGGACCGCCCCAGGATGCCTGCTTAGCCTCCGCCCATCACATAAATTTGCCATTTCCAGACCCCACTTTTGTTCACCAATGTACCTCCATTATAGAACAAACAGGGTAGGTGCTCAATGAATATTTGTTGAACACACGGATGAATGAATGTTAAGGGGCACACAGATGCTTTGTCAGCCTGTCATTTTGCAAAGCTCATTAGATTTCTCCTCTGGGGATAACTGACTCATATGTGTATGATGGGTGAACATTACCACAGCAGCCTTTTAGCTTCTAGCTCTGGAAACCAGAGGTCCGGACTTACGAAAAACAACACAACCATCTTGGACCGGAGCTGCTTAACTGATGCCGGGACACACTATTCGTCATTAACAGATTAAGGAATAGTAATTTATATTTAGGTTACTATTTTTCACGTGATTTATCCTACTAAGGAGAAAATGTGGATTTCCTTGAACATTGCATTCTCGAGGCAGATCTGATAACTGAGAGTTTACTGGTTAGTGCCAGGCTCCTCCTCGTCCTCCTCATTATTGATTTTTCACCTTGTTTCCTCATTCCTGAGAGCATGAGGGCATACAAGACAGAACATCGTAGCCAACTCTTTTGTGGTTCTTGGGAGAGATGCCTTTTCCTTCCCTGGCTGGCATTACTAGAGAGCTTTTGATGTGAGAAGATAATTATCCTCACCTCTGATCTGGAGAGTGGGACTCAGTTTATTACTTTAACAATGACTACCATTTCATTTTGCAAAAAACGTGGCTTTAAGTTGAAAGCCAAGTGGGAGGTTCTGAGGTTTAGATGTCTAAGTACTTAAGGTCTTGCATAAGGAATTAAGAGAATGTGTCCATAAGTTATGCAGCTGCTGTGATGGTTCTGTTTCCTCCTTTTATCCCCTCTCTTAGTGCTTTTATTTCAGTAATTTAGAAACTGGATCCTTTGCCTTTATTTCAGGCTTCATTTGGTCCTGCTGTTTAATTCACACCTGATGTCCTCCAAGTCATTTCTCTGAGAACCAACTGGCTGCACCATGCTGGCGAGGAGGCTTCAGATGGAGAAGGAGCAGCAGGAACTGATGAACCGTGAGAGAAACACTTTTGTGTAAACGTGGCTTATGATTATCCCCTTAATAAAAACACCCCAGGAAAAAGAGACAAAAAGGATGACGCTGAACAATATTTAGAGATCGAGTTTTCTTCAACTTCCTAGCTGATACTTTGTAATTCCTACCAGTTGATGAAATAAAAATAAAAATCTCACTCCTTTTAAAACAGCTTGAGAGTATACCAATAATTCATATTCTTGATGTATTCATTTTTTTTCCAAATGAAAGTGTCATTGACAACAGAATGAGTCTCATCTCGGGTGTCCTTGTCAGGCTCTGAACTTTTACAATAGGAAGAGGTCCCCTGCCCAAGGGATGGGAGCCCAAGGGATGGGAGCCCACCCATCACACCACTGTTATGGGCCACAACTTCCCTGAGGCCTCCCTCTAGGTAGCTTCCCAGCACTTAGCAATACTTAGAGAAAATTCAGCTAGGGTAAATAGAATTATGGAGGCTTGCTGTCCCTGGAGACCATCTGAGAGTTATTTCCGTCTGAAGCAAGGCCATCTTTTCTATTTAACCTGCCTTTTTCTAGGAAGGATTTAAAGAAGATTCCAAAAAATCACTGTGGACTGTATCATTTTACTCCCAAGCCCCCTCTTTTTCTTGTTAATCATCCCTCTGTCTCAACTGCTTAAGGCAACTCAGTTTACTTGGAAATATTTTACAAACAATAGCATATGGAACCCACGGCTGTGGACATGGTCCATACCTCTTCACAAAGACCTGAGGAAGAACCCGTTCTGTGGTCTCAACCCAGCATGCCTCGCTCCTGCTGACCAAACTAAAATTTGTCAGAACTTTCCCAGGCACACAGGACCTCGGGGTGTGACAACTTCCTTCTAAACTGTTCCCCTCTCGTTTCCTTTTTCATGGGCTCTCTTAGCTGTTGTGTTTTTCTAGTGTGTCCTGCTGGCTCTGGCCATTGCCTTTTGTGGGAGGTAAATGAAACCAGGTGGGAAGTCATCGATTTGAGATATTTAAGTTAGGAATCTGGTCAAAATTCAAAATAAAATCTTTGACCTTTTCAATCTGCTTACTTTTAAACATACACTTATGTTCCCTGAAGGCTACAGTTAGGTCCAGCTAGTACTGTGCACTATTAACTACGATTTTCATTTCCGAGAGAGGAGTGATTGTCTACAGTTAAATTCTGAGGTCAATAGAGAAACTGTACAGAAGTAGGTAATTAGATACTTCTGGAGTTTTTTAAAAAGCTTTATAACTAGAGGTCACCCCTTTGAAATGTCAAAAATAAGTTATCCTAATGGGTTTTTTACTTTACCTTTTTGATCTCCAAACATATGCTTTTAGATTGCATTAATCTGCCCAAGTGACCAATCACTGGGTAAAAACAACAACAAAACACCTTTTAAACACCAGATGTTCTGCTGTATACAGCAACACGGTTTTGTTTTTTAGATGTGTGAGCATTCAGAGCAATTCGGCTTAAGAGAAAAAAATTGTAATGGGTTTTATTATATTCTTGCCTATGGTAGAATGCAGATATCTAGATATAGAATTAAAGAAACTTAATTTGGGGCAATTTTCAACTTGGAAATCAATTTTTTTAACATGTCATACTAAGAGTCACCAGGTATAGTTTGTGTTTTTAGTTGACATTCAGCTGATCCACACGTGCTCACCTTTGCTCTCCACATCAGCCATAACTTAAAAACATCAACGTGGCGTCCGCACTGTAAAGCCTTGTCCCCAGTGTCATAGGACAAGTCATAGTGTTTATCTTGCTGGAAGAGGTAGGAGGCGTGCATCTGGTTGCAACTCTGCATCAATCCCTAGAAGAGAAGAGAAAACTTGGGAAACACTACTGACTTTCAAAGGGGTTCTATTACATTTACATGGTGATGGAAATTATTAAGGAAAAAATAAAAGAAAAAGACATCGAATATCCTAGAGACAGAAAACAGTAAGAATCAAATGAAAAAAAATATCTGGACAGGATGGGCTGCTGTGATAGGTCAACTCTGGGATAAATGGCATAGAGTCAGACTTCACCAGAAGTTAACTAGACAAGGCGTTTATTAAAAAAATAATCGCAATCATAGTGTGATGCTCATTCTTTGGGAGAACATTCTGATGTTCTGGTTTTGTTGCAATTAAAATATTTTGAAAACTCTTTGGTTCTGTGTTTCACTCATATTGAGCCCAAGTACTTTATTATTTAGCTGTTAGTGTTTGAGTTCTCTTTGGAAATCATAGCTTTTTAAGACAGTTCATTGCTATCATTTTTATATACTGACATCTAAAAAAATAAAGACATTGCTACTCTGAGATGTCGTAAATAACCAATCTTTCAAATGTCACGTTCCTCTCTCAAGAGTGGTTAGAACATCAATACTACACTTTCTTACTCAGTTGCAGTTAAAGTGGAAAGTTTCATTGTCGATGACAATTAATTTTCCCTGGCACCATAAACCCACTATGGACAATGGGTGGCAAAGTGACTGAACTATTCCAAAGGACAATGAATGAATCATATGCTCCCTGCCTAAAATGGCACTGCCAGTCTCCTCACTGGAAACCCCACCACGTTTCAATTTGTCAAGAACCACAGGAATCCTTTGACTCTCATTATCTGCAGCATAATTGTGATTTTATAGAAGCTTTGGCCTTTTCTTTCTCTTGTGACTCATGACGAAAGAAGAAAAGGCTGAAAAAAGGTGATCATTTAGTCGGTTAGCGGTGAGAATCCTTTGAAAAAATTATCCAAACTAAAACAAAACGCAATGCAACTAAAATTTTAACTAGCTCCTAAAACACCGAGTGCCCAGAGGGCAGACGACAGAACAGGGCTCAGCTTTGCAGTTGAGGCTTCATAATCAGTGGATTCATTAAGTTATTTTTTGAGACTAAGGGAAATTCTACAACATAATTGTAACAGGGCAGTGGGAAGACATTGAATTTAAAGAGAAAATTCACTTGATGACCAATAAAGTTGAAAATTGCAATAGGTGCTTCTATGTTGTTTCATGGTCACAGAAACTCGACAGTAATCGTCCCTAAGCCACGCGAGCTTGCAAATAGTTGCCATCAGTCCAAGGGGAGGCCACCCCAGAGACTGTGGAACAGTGACGGATTGGACCAGCTTCTACTGGGATGGGAAAAGCCTCTCAAAGCACATGACTTCTAAAAGATTGGGCTGTGTTAGTCTCACTGTACAAAAGGGTAAGGAAAAGTGATCATTGTTTTTTACAGAAAGGGCCTTGGTGAGATAATATCCTGGTTCTGAGCCATTAAGACGTTATAAAACATTATGCCCCAAACTATTTTAAATACACGAGTATTTGCTGTGTTATAAAATAGTTGCTGCAAAAGAGATTCCCATGGTCAAATAAATTTAGGGAATTCTATATCATAAATCTCTTATTTTTAGATATTTTCAGTATATATCAGCATATTAAATGTTCTATGCTCCATAATAATGAAACTTGTTTTTTAACTCTTTAATCCAATATATCCCAAGCTTTTTATAAACCAAGAGCTCTCTTATCAGAGGATACATGATACTATCTGGCATTTTTCCTTAGACCTCAAGAAGAGAAATGCTGTCAGAGCATCATAGACTCTTGGATTTGGAAGGAGTCCCAGAGCTATTAATCTGGTCCTTCTCAGTGAAGGAATCTTCCTATCCTCTTACTCATAAGTGATTGTCCAATCTCCATCCAGTCACCTCCCCTGATGATGAATTTATTCCTAAGCACAGCATTCATTATCTGTTGGGTGACTTAATTATTAGAAAAATGTTCCTTTTATTGACCTAAGTCAGACTTAAAATCATGGGGTATTCTGATTTTGCCATTAGATCTCTATCCCCCAGTGTTACTAACCCAGTTCCTTGAAGCGTCAAAGAAAAAAATAACATCTCTTCCACCTGAGAACATTTAAACTGTGAAGCCTGCTATATCCTCTCAGCCCTTTGTTGTTTCTTCTTCTTCTTCTTTTTTCTTCTTCTCCTTCTCCTTCTTCTCCTTCTCCTTCTTCTCCTTCTCCTTCCTTCTCCTTCTCCTTCCTTCTCCTTCTCCTTCCTTCTCCTTCTCCTTCCTTCTCCTTCTCCTTCCTTCTCCTTCTCCTTCCTTCTCCTTCTCCTTCCTTCTCCTTCTCCTTCCTTCTCCTTCTCCTTCCTTCTCCTTCTCCTTCTTCTTCTAGATTAAACATCCTTATTTCTTTCACCCACCTTCTTACATGTTTACCACGTGTTCTCACTGGTTGAGCTCTGGCTCCATGGGGTGCCATGTACCACTGGGCACTAACCTGAGCAAACCGCTCCAGGTGTGGTTTAAGCAGAAGACAGTGCAGAACTACTACCTCCCCCATCCCGAAACTCCGCTTCTTTTATCCTATTAATATTTTGTGAATGGTATTTTTTCTCTTGACCCTGCAGAGTACAACCTAATGTCCTATGATATTTTTTTTCACAAGTAGAACAATTTAGCCATGTGTGAAACAGGCCTGTCTCATCTAGTCAAATTATAACCATCCTCTATTTGGACACAAGAGCAGGACCTAAAGCTTATCCTCTTGGATGTGGCTCGCTGTTCCGGCCTGTAAACTCATCCCGCGTTCTGTTTCTGTCACCACACACGTTCACTCTATCAAACCCTATGGATAGACTGGGCCACCGGTCAGGACAGACGTACCTCTTCTCTAACCAGGAGAGCGGAGCACTGCAAAGGAACACCCATCATCTTGTGTGGATTCCACGTCACAGAGTTGGCCCTAAAGGAAACAAATCAGGTTAAGAGGGTGTGGTACCCACGACAGCCTCAGATTACAAAGGCCCTGTGCACGGGCAGCAGAGTTTCAGGGTTCTTGGCACTGTTTTTCAAACTCTAGGAGGACACTAAATTTGCAAAACGATAAATGGACTCTTAAATGTACAATCTTTTCTTTGTCTACAGAGACAGTAGGTGAGGGCTAGTGTCTTTGTGTGGCACCCCCTGAGATCCCATGGCGGCATTTACTCAGCTTCTAAGGTGGACCGAGAGTCCCTTGGAGTGACCAGGATCATGAAGTCCAGAGTCCTGCTGTTGGCCACTAAAGGCCAGAGCACCAAGCAGGTGAAGGAGCTGCCCTCACGTGCGTGTCTCCACTGTTCCTGCTTCTGACACGAGCTGTGGCTCATTCCACTGATTAATTTTGTTACTTTCCTGACCCAGTTTTTCCCTCTTTCGATTCAACTGATCACCTAATTTTTCAAATGTGTCCCTTTGGGATAGCTTCTAGTTTGTCCCCTACTTCCATCTCTTCTCTAATCCAGTTATCCTTCCAGATCATAGGCGAGATCGTCTGTATGGCTCCTGGAGCAGTTTTCAACACATTTGAGAAATAGAATGCTCTCTCAATAGTAATAGTGATTCTCAGCTTGGGGATTTCTGGTGTTTGAAAAGTCTAAACCATAGTCCTGATTCAGATTTATTACTATTATTATTATTTTAATCTGGATACAGTAATTGTGTCTTAACAGACTCCTGGTTTCCATCTCATCCCCCACCTTGCACCATAGTTATCGTCTAGCTCTGGTTATGACTTTCTCCCTTTTTCTAAATTGTTAGCAGCTTCCTTTTGTCTCCAGCCTTAATTCCAAACTGCAGGGTATGGCTGAGATGTCCACACGGGTGAGCCATAGGCTGGGTGTTCGGTCCTGCATACTTTCACTCTCTCGTACCCATTTCCATCACTCCAGACTATTTTTGGTGTCAGAAAATTCCATTCATTGTCATGCAGATCTCTTGACGTGATTTCCTCTTCCTGGGATGTCGCCTCCCTTTGCTTCATTTGGCTAAATCTTACTTCTTCTTTAAGGCCCAGATTAAGTCTTATCCCTGCAGCTTCCTTGGACTTCATTCGACGTCTCTCCCTCACTCCACTGTACTGCTCCGACCCCCTCCTCCTTCAGTTCCCAGAGAAAGCAGTTGCCCCAGTGAGTCCCGTCGCTCACTTTAGGTGCTCATCAGGCAGGCGAGTCTGTCCACACGTCTTCTGAAAGGCTGAGAGATCCTTGAAGATGAGAATCAGGAAGGTGACCATGGTATAGACTCATAGGAGGAGGAAAATAGTTGTGCCATCCAAGGCAGCTGCCCTTCCTCTGGCTGCACAACACGCTTGGGCTCACCCTGTTGCCAGCACCTGAGGTGAGAGAACCCTGGGAAGAAGTAAGGATTGGGAAAGATCTCATTCATCTAGCTGATGAATGGCAGGCTTGGGGAGCCAATCAGAGAACACTTACGGGCCTGGGGCTCTTATCTGAATCCGTGAATAGTCCAGCTCTTTTTCCAGTCTTTCTTTGGCTCTGACATCCTGTCAGATACGTTAGGACTGGAATTGAGGAAAGAAGCAAAGGCACTTCATGGCCAGATGGCTACTACCCTGGAAAGAGGACTAAATGACTTCATGAGTAATAATGGAACTGTGGTATTGAAAAGCTCCTTCCAAGAGAATATCTCCTAGCTCTGTAGAATAACCCAAATCAAGGAACCTGGACTCTCAGCAGTAGGAAATAGTGGATAAGGGAGGACAGCTGGGGAGCCAGACAGTTTGAGTCTGCACACAGGTTCTATCACTTCCTAGCTGTGTGACCTTGAGCAAGCTGCTTAACCCCTCTGTGCCTAGATTTCCCTGTCTGTAAATAGAATAATAGTAGTTTGACACTATTGTCTGACACATCATAAGCATTAAATAAGGTTGTCTCTCGCTATTGGTTTCAGTTCTCATTTACAAACTTTGTGACGCTGGGGACATAGACGCCGCCATTCCATGATAGTCTACAGCTATACATCTAATCCTAATGAAACTCCATGGAGAAGAAAACAGCTGTTCTGCATTTCTGTGATTGGAGGTGTTTATTTCTATGCAGTGGCCAATGTGTCTTTTTAGACTAGGGAGTGTCAAGGCACTCGACTATCTGTCACTACCCCCCTCTGTCTCAGAGGAGCTGTCTCATAAAGACTGCAAAAAGCTACGCAGAGCGAGTCCATGGCATGGCCTCCATCTATTTGAGAAATGATAGCAGTTTATGAAAAACGGCCTCAGGTTCATTTCAAAACGTTTTGCCATGGGATTCAGTCACGTCGCGTCTGTGATTTTCCTCACGTTGGAGAGAACTGAGTCCCCTCGGGTTGTTTTCAGTCAGAGCATTGTGTCCTCAGTTACCACTCAGACCCAGCCGCTTTCCCCTTCTCATCCTTCCAGACCTATTCTTTGCCCTCTGCCTCCGGTGCGTGGGTTCGCGCCGTTCTCCTCGCACGAATCCAGCTCCAAACGTGCGGCTTTGGTTTCCTTCTCTTCTCGCTCTCCTGACACTGCCCCTTGCAGAAGGTTCTGTCTCCCCACCTCCTGTCACACCCTCGGCACCTCTCACCTCCACCGCCTCGCGGCCCCGGACATCTGCCCAATAGCTTCTTTCTGGTCCACCCTTGGCCTCCATCCTCTCCCGAAACCCGAGTTATCTTTCCAAAAACGCAGACGAGATCGTATCACTCCTCAGCGCCCCCGCTATGGCTGCTTACACTGGGGTCTTTCCAGCTTTTTCTCACCCCAAGGAACACAATGCTCTCCAAGCGGAATAGTGGTTCCAGCGGTTCGGTGGATCCGGACGCACTCTGCGGGCAGGCGATCTGCCGAGACACGCTGGGCAGGACTTGTGGACACTGCCCGGGCTTCCTAGTCCCTGCCATGACTCCCCCTTAGTCTCCAAGCAGACTTGTTTGAACTTTCTCCGAGGGCCCTTTCAAGTCTCCGTGTCACTGCTCGTCACCATGACGACCTTCTTCCACTTGTGCCAACTTTCTCCGAGGGCCCTTTCAAGTCTCCGTGTCATTGCTCGTCACTTGTACTTGATAAATCTCCAATGCTCACGCTCCTCGGTCTGTGTCTTGGGTCTTTACTCCTTCGGCCTTGAATTTTAACCCCTGCTAGATTGTAAGCCCCCTGAAGGCAGGCTTCATGTCATGTTTGTCTTCGTGCCCTCGCTGTATCTCGTGCTGCTGCTTGCAAATGGCAAAGGTTCTGTAGCTACCTATTCGAATTTCTGAACCCCTGGCTCTGGGGGCGGGAGTGAGGGCAATAATTGGTAATGGGGCAGGCGCTACACCAGAACCTTGGGCTGGGCCAGCAAGCCTTGCGAGTGGACCACGATGATGGATTATTGTAGGTGGGTGTCAGCCTGCTGTCAGGAGGGTTAAAGAAGAGCTAGTTGGGTGAAAAAGGGGAAGGGATTAAGAAGTTCAGATTGGCAGTTACAAAATAGTCACGTGGATGTAAAGCGCAGCATAGGGAGTATAGTCAACGCTATCGTCATGACTATGTATGGTGACAGGTGGGTACTGGACTTATGGAGGGATCACTTTGTAGTAATATAAATGTCTAACCACCATGCTGTACACCTGAAGCTAATATAATATTGAATGTCGACTGCAATTAAAAAAAATATATTAAAAAAGAAGAGTCAGTCTACGATGCACAGAAACAGACTGAAGCATCAGGGCTCTTGGCACGTGCTCTCAGCACCACCAGCTCTAGCATTTTGACAGTGCCAGCAAGGAAGGAGGTCACTTTCTGAGAACTGGGTTGGTTCTCGAAGGAGAGGCCTGGCATGGCTCTGGGTGCCTCTGCCATTTGCTTAGGTGGTTGGTACTCTGGGATCCCTGTGACCCCTGGGGAACTCTGGATTCGGGGATAAGAATCACCTATAAATTTCCTTCACTTCATCGTGAATTCTAATGCTTGGGAAAATGTGATACGCCCAAATAAAGCAATTTCTACCCATGAACATTATGCCCAGGGGTTTCCACCTGCCCTACAACCTTATTCACCATGCTGATGATAAGTCTCAGATAAATGCGGGGCAAAGCGAATTCTGCTCCAAGAGGAACACCAGCAGTCCTACGTTTTTAAGGACTTCATATCTGGCTATTCCATTTAGTAGATTTAGTTAACAATACAGTTCCAATAATTGTGGCGGTTACAGAAGGCTCTGTGTTCCACAGTGAATGTTCTAAGCTTTGCTCTCAAATAATAGCCTTTCTTGGGAAGGTGTGTGGGTGTATATTTTTCCAGGGTGGGTAATTTAGCAAGCTTTCAAATAATCATTGGTGTAGGATGAAGCATGACTTTCAGCACTTGGAGTCCCAGGTGGCATGAAAGGTAGAATAACAGATGCTTATATTTTGTGCCAGTCAAAAGGGAGCTCAAAGGAGAGAAGGTACTGTGCACGGGACACCTCTCTCGAAAGTGCATGAATTTAATTCCTGTGCTTGTCATCTGAACAGGCACCTTTTGAACTCTTCTCTTCTGTTTAAAGTCTCTTTCTGTTTAGGTCATTGCCTCTTCCTTAAGCTTCTGGTTTCATGCAGATCATCATGACAAAAGGAATTCAGCCTGAGAGAAGCCCGGAAGGAACAGAAGCAGAGACTAGAACTGGCTCAATTTGGGATAGGGACAAGCCTATCCCCATCCACTCACACTTACATGGGTACCGGCAATCAGCACTTCTGACTCAGGGAAGCAACCCTGTTGGCAGGGGCTGGAGCTGGTCTATCTCCAGTCTTCTCAGCCTCCTTTTTAGTAATTAGGCAAGGTCTGCCTCAGTAACCTCATTCCCACCTTTCTACCCTCATAGGTTCTCTGCGTGTGAGTGGGCCTGAGTGTCACAGAGAGCACCCTGTGCGTTTTCTCTGGCCTGGCTGCTGCACATGACCAGTGCTAACAGAAGCTCCTGAGCACCGTCAGCCTCCCTCCTCGTCTTGAAATTGTGCCAAGCCGTCCAGAAGCAGAGCCAGTGAGAAGCTTTTCCTAGGCAGCATCTGGCTGCTTGGCAGGGCACAGTGGGCATTTGGCAGGCTCAGATGAATTCAGGCTTTCTCAGTTGCCTAGACGAGCTCACAACTGCAGTTGACCTGCCATGTTGTGACGGGAAAACTGGGAACTCTGAGCCCCCTCTGCATCTAGTCCAGAACCAAAGCCTGAGACTGATTCTTATTCTACATTTTTTTCCTTTGGACCTGAATATGCTTTATGCTAATCAGATACTACCTCCTTTGTGTTCTGCAGCTTTTCTCAATGATCTACTGCTTCGTCTCTGAATGAAGGGTGTTTTGCCACATCCATCAGAGCTATGCCAGAAAAAAATTATGGGAATGAAGGCATATTTAAGTTTATATATTTAAGTTTAGGTTTGGAATTTAATATGACCAGTAAGTAACTTACTGGTCATATTAAATTCCAAACCTAAACTCTCAACGCTGATAAATTCTTTGCTTTGTGAAATTCTTTATTGGTTTCTTTAAAACACTGGCTATTATCCAGTGTTTTAAAGCTATAGATCTTCCCCCAGAAAACTGTGAACAGCCTGCTGTTTTAAACAATTTTGGTAAGTGGTTCAGAATCCCAGGAAGGTCATTTCTGATTCCTCTGGTAAACCATGGGTCCCAGTTAGGAGTCTCTGTTTAAGAGGCAGTTTACTTGGGTCACTCGATATGGGCTTTGATTTCTTTTTGTCATTTACATACACTATTCATAGGTATATCACCGCACGAGGCAAAGCACGCAAGCGCAGTACAGAATGGGCTCACCTGTACACCAACCGTTCTTGGAAATTGGGTGTAATTAATTTGCTTTTCACATTTAGTTTTCACACTTTATGTTGTGAACAAGAAAAATGTGTGTACCTCTCCACGCCGCTCAGTTTCCACTTGTGTTTCCGGGACATCAGCAATCCTCCACCCCAAGCTGCCTGAAAAAGGAAGATCATACAAGAAAGAAGGTAGTGCTTTTTCATTCCCTAGATTTCTGTAGTTTGGTGTCCTTCAGAATAGTGAGCGTCTCCCAGAGCTCAGGCAACGTAGGGGGGTTGCCCACCTTCTGGCATTGGACTTGTGGAGTTTAGATTGGATGCGGGGGAGGGTGGTATTTAAGTTGTTAGGCTCCATCTCACATTTATATGATATAAAGAACCAAACTAGGGACGCATTTCTTCAGTCTGCATGAGGAGACAGCTTGTCCCTGCAGCCCATCGCCAGCACTCAGTCCTAGGGAAGCTCATCATCTCGGATGGAGGAAGCCTGTTAACTCCATAGTTTAAAGTCGAAAAGATGGGCCGGGGACCCCTTCAACAGCTTCCAAAATTGCAAGGAAAACTCTTTTGACCATTCTGGATGATTCCAGAAGGAGGAATCAGCTTCACAAGCTTATTTCACTGATGTGTAATTTTGGATAATTTCTCTGTCCAAAAAAATCAAAACAAAACAAAGAAATAAGCAGTAAAGATTTGTGCCAGTCAGTTAGTTGAGCAATTAGAACATGTCCCTTAAAAATTTGTTCTCAAGTTTGAAGTTTTGAATTGTAGTAATCTTTAAGAATAAGATGTCAGGATAGAAATTCATTGGAAAATGTTAACATTCTTTGTAGGTTTAAAATAATCCTGGGATAATTTTAAAGGGGGGAAAAAAAACTGTTAGGGTATAATTGTTTCCCCACACACACACTTTGTTAGAATTTCAGTTCTTTTATATTTTGAAAAAGTATCCAATTTTCCAAATGTGTAATATCATAAGACTTTTTTTTCCTAGTTTAATTATGGAATGTATAAAAACAATAAGAATATGGTAAACTTGCTATGTTTCAAAGAAAGCTAATACAATTGATTAAAAGGTCTCCCAGCTCCATTTTAAGTAGAAATCTTGGAGGCGAGACCACAGCATCTGCTGGCTGGGGACATACAGACATTGCTGTTTATAAAGTTATCAGGGTAATCCTTCTCCGAATCAGCTGGCAAGGTCGAACAGGCTCTGAGACCTAGGTCACTGATGGTACTTGAGTTGTTCAACCTTTTTCTCAGCATCTTCTTGTGTAAAATAAAGGGATCTCTGGTAGCCTAATGAACGACTCATACTGTGAATCAGGAAAGGAAAAGATAGATAATTGCAATGCAAGACACCTCTGAAATAATAGAAATTTACCTAGCTTATCCTGTGGATGTTTTCTGCTCCCAAAGGAAGGGAATTAATTTGGTCTGAATACTTTTAAAGCCAACATGATTGAGAAAGCCAGTGCTACTCAATAACATCTTTGCACCAGAATGTAAATCGACTCATGCTACCTTCACCGAGAAAGTCTGACAATCAAAAAAATGTCAGCTGTACCAAACACTGTGCTCAGTGATACGTTGGCACCAACCCCTTATCTCATCATAGATCTTTAGCAGTTTGCAGATAGAAGCTAATCTTTGAACCACGCTTTGAAAAATACTGGCCTAAATTTAAATCTCTTCAATTTCTTCTTCTAAAAATTGACTTTTTTTTTTTCCATTTGACATGTTTTTGTGGGCACATTTATTTTATTTATTTATTTTTTTAGTGCGAATAAGCCTGGTGTCAAAACTTTCACATATAATTTATCTTCTTAGCTGACCTAGCTAAGAAATTGGAAATTTGGTGGTAGATATTTCTTAGCAAGTTGTCAAGTCTACCTTTCTCTCCATATATACGAATACATGACTTGAGTTGAGTTTTTTTTACCCTCCATGTTTCCTATGTAAATTCAACTCCTAGTTTACCTTTTTGATTATTCATACAGGAAAGTAAACTCTGCACACATGTGACTGTGTGTATGTACATGAGATGTTGCTGCTCAATGAATTGAGAACTAAGTGCTCAGATAATGGTCAAGAAATAAGAATGTTATCATGTTGGAAAACATTAAGGCATAATCAGCCTCAGACTGCTTCCAGTGAATGTTGTATGTTATTTTGAATTGTGCGCTATTTTGTCTTCACAGTCTTTAAAAGCTGACATATCAGTATTCCTAAAGTAAGAGAGAGAGAGAGAGAGAGAGACAGAGAGACAGAGAGAAAGAGAGAGAGAGAGAGAAAGAGAGAGAAATTTCATTCCAGAAGCCCCAGGTGAAAATGTGTAACGATATTTTGGTGGCAGGCCCTATGGGATACTTACATCCACGTGCATCCAGATCTTATACTTTTTGCAGATATCAGCGACAGCTAAGAGGGGATCGAATGCTCCATACACGGTGGTTCCAGCTGTTGCACTCACAAGGAAAGGAACAAATCCCTGTGCAAACGAAAAAGCCCCAAATAATGTAAAACAGGGGTTCAAGAATTCTTTTCAAAAGCTGACAAAAAACAATGAAAATTCTCCCCGTGTCATACACATCTGCATTTTTGGATCCTCCAGAAGTGTCATCTATACTTTGGAGCCTCGTAAGAACGATGCTTATGCCCCAGGATCTGAGTTCTCCAGTTTCATTACAAGGACAGACATTCTGCTCCTCAGAAGAGGCTACACTGGACCCAGAGCAAGCTTTGCAGTGCCTGTGGGCCATTGACATATCCCAGGGGGATTTTCTGGCCATTTTCTCCCCTCTGCTGACTTTCTAGTTTTCCTTTATCATAACAGGGACTCTGAACTTAATAAGTAAGCAGAAAAGAGAATGGAGAGAAGGAACTCTGACCGGTTCATTACTCCTATTTGGAAATCCTAAGATGACTTATTTGGAGTCTCAAAGAAAAGGATTCACGTGGAACTAAACAACAAGCTATGGATCTTATCTGTCTTAGCAGTTCTCTGTCTGGCCCAGGCTAAATGAAAACTGATTGAAATAACATGTGGCGGCTGAAAGAAGGCAGAAGAACCCTCAAACAGGATGAACGCATATATTTACTCCACATGACAACATGCAGTTACAGAGTTAGTCTGTAGGTGGCAGCAAAGGCTTAACTTGTGGTTTACAAGCAGTTCTAGTACAGGAATGAGGGGAAAATTTGTTGCAGGGCAGAAAAGGCAGAGGAAAATAAATAATTGTTCCTGAGCTCATAATAACCAAATGCATGTGTTATAGCATTGAATTAGGAACTGTAGATTATATCTAGTAAAAATCAAACTAAGGGAATTCTAAAAACAAGCTCCCCGACTTGAGAACCAACCAGTCAGGGATATAAATGACTTCCAGAGATTTGTGGGTATCTTTAGCAGGTCTTCAGAACTTGTTACTTCTAAAGAGAATTCTAAAATGCTTCTTGAAAAATAAGGCGTTTGGAGAGCCAGTCGTATCAGTATGTGTCTAGACAGGAAAAATTGGCCTCTTTCAAATACCATGCTGCATTAGCATGCTAATATTTCCCACTTACGAAAATGATCTTTCGAATGTGTGTCTGTGTAATGCCAACCTGCAACACATGGAAGACAAATGCTTTGGAAATTCTATACAATATTACTGTGTATATTGTTTATTCGGCAATTTCGACCTTTCCAAAGCAGAGCCTTCAACTCAGAGAAATAAATATTGACTGAATGCAAAATTCCACATTCTCATTAAAGCCAGGCAGTTGAGGCTTGAGTACTCTGCCTAAGACAATATCAAAGTGTGTTTTCCACGGGGTAGAAATAGAAATATGTACCCTTCCTTAGCTTGTTATGGGCTGGATAAAGCTCCCTACAAAAACTTACTTTTTGCTTGGCTTCGATGATCCTTCTTTCAAGATCAGATGGAATCATTTTTCCCCTGAAAGAAAAAATAAACACATTATAGGTTTGTTTTGAATAATTTACTTTGTTGTCTTTGACAAGTGGACACGTGAGGGTAAAAGTCCAACTGTAAACCGTTGATTGTAATGATTGGTTTAAACAACTCTTTGGCTCTGCATTTCCTCCCTCAAAGATACATGACTGCATTTTCTGGTAAGTTCAGGTGACTCCTGACCACACTGTGCAGTTAGGACATCCGCACGTCCCTCCGATCAGCACGGAACCTGCCTTTGTAGGTCATCCTCTTCATTTGCTTAAAACAAGCCTGCTCTGGAGCAAGACATTTGGCAATGCAAGGAGAGGGCAGAAAAAGGTTTGCAATCCAAATCTGTGCATGAATGGACCTGCAATTTCAGATTGAGATGACATGCCAAGAGGAGATAGTCCATCCTGAAGCATTCGAATGAACTATTAAGCCAAAAAGCCACCTAATTACATTCCAAGTGCAAAAAGCACAAAGCAGGCCAAGAACACACAGGCTCAAATTTCAAACAGATCGATAGACAGGAATCAGAGAGAGAAACATCCTTTCATCCCTGAAATATTTCTTTCCTAAAATAAAATTATAGATAGTGTTTTGCTTACTTTAAAACCCCATTATTATAATAACCAGAGAAGCTGATTTTTTCAAGAAGTTAGATGTGGCTAGATATGTGATCTCAGTCACGTTTCTTAATTTCCCTGGGCCTATTATTATTATCTTTAGGACACAGTGATAATAATATTACCTGTGGAGTTATTAGGATTAAATGAGTTAATACGTGCAAAATTATTTTAAAAGTGCTTGGCCTACGGAAAGCATTCAATAAATACTAGCTTTCACTGTTGAGATTGTTATTATATGTTGTGGCATTCCTATCCTAAGACTTCAGGAGAAAAACAGGCAAAGGAAAGGCAGGGTAGGTACATGATACTGGAGACTGTGAAATAGCCTTTAAACTCACATAGCTCTCTTGAGGCTGCTACACTGGCTAAACTTTTCACATCATGGTCCTCTATCTAGGATTTTTTAAAAGGAGATTTGGAAAAATAAATTATTTCTTTTGGGGGGCAGGAGGTTGTCACAATAAATAGTAGTTAGTGGGCAGTGGGCAGGGTTTTGGTATTTGTTGCTAGCTCTATAGTCCATTTGTGGCTGTCCTTGGGATTCTAGATATAGAGCAAGCGTTGAGCTACTTCAATACATCTTCTAGTGTGGTCTTGCCTAGTTTTTTGCATATTAAAATGTTATTTCATTAGAAATTACTTTGCTAACATTTCTCCATTTAAAAACATAACTTGGGCATTATATAATGAGTACATAAGTTATATTTTCTACGATTTTCATTTCAGGCTAATAAAGGCAGTGTTACAAACTAGTTGCAATATGCAGCAGACATTAGGCCTGAAGGCACTGAGAACCACTGATTTATGTGAAGCTGTTTTCCAAAGAAAGACACTTAACATGTAATTACCTAGCGACAGTCATGGACAAGTTAGCAGTGATTAGTTAGTCAGGCTGGAATGGAACAAAGGGCATTAATGTACATTTGGTGTGAAGGGTGCACCGAGATTCAGAGCTGCTCACCTATGAGGACGTCTGTGATGTGGGGACAGAAGGAAGGACAGAGAGGAACCAAAGGCAGGGTGGTGGGGAGGGCATCTCGCCCTCTGTATTTCTCCCTTCCCATTACAGTGTGGCCCAGGGAGCAACCCACAGAGCGGGGATTTTTACCTCTCCCAGATCGGGCTCTGCTAAAACACCATTCTTCAGCCTTGATATAAGCAAGATGTCCAAATTTTAGAAGAAACTCAGGTATTTATCTTTTACATAAAGTTCTAAGTACATTAAAATTGCCATAGTATTTTTAGAGGTAAACATGGAACTGAGAGAGAGAATTCTCAGAAGTTGTTTGCAAATCCCAAATTTTACCTGGTCTACCACAGCTGACCGCCTCTGCCTTGGAGGCGGACAAATGTCTTCCAAAGCATTTGTGTGGTTTAATGTGGGATGGACGAACTTGACAATTGCTATCTGCTCATCTAATCACATCTGGACGTTTTGTTAAGCACAAGGCAGTAAGGAGTCACCGAGAAGTCACAGATTAAGGTACATTAGAATTGGAAGGTGGTCAAGTCCTGATTCTAGTCTAATGGCCCCATTTTTCAAATGAGGAAACAGGCCAAGAGAGGCTAAGCTTCCATCACAAACACAAAGGGCCGAACATATAGGAAGCGTATTTGAAAAGATTGCAGTCTTTTAGGGTAAAACGAATCCTTTAAAATAATATCTGGCTTTCATGGACCAGAAGTGTCATTCCAGGCTTCCAGGAGAGCAGTAATGAACACAAGAGTCTGTTCCGTTTCCACACGGGTGAGCTCTGGGGCAGCAGGAAGGAGCAGGTTTGTCAAATACAGTGGTTCCCTCTTAACTCAGGGGTGGGGGGATATGTTCCATGTCCTCCAGCGGATGCCTGAAACCTCAGATATATACTATATATACTATGTATATTCTGTGTTTTCCTATACATACATACCTACGATGAAGTTTCATTTATAAATTAGGCACAGTATACGAACAACAATAACTAATAATAAAATAGAACAGTTATAGCAACATACTGTAATAAAATTATGTGAATGTGGTCTGCCTCTCTCAAAATACCTTATTGCTTTGCACTCGCCTTTTCACTTTACGGCTTCTCTGTGGCATGTCCGAATTGCCAGCATCACCACTCTTGTATGTTGGGGCCGTTATTAAGTAAAATAAGAGTGACTTGAAGACAAGCACTGCGATATTGTGGCAGTCGATCTGATAACCCAGACATCTACTAAGTGACTAACGGGTGAGGACGCTGGTCAAAAGGATCATTCACGTTCCGGGAGAGAGGGAGCAGGACAGTGCGAGGGTTCATCACGCTACTCAGAACGGTGCACAGTTTAAAACTTAGGAGTTACTTCCGGAATTTTCCATTTGATATTTTCAGACCACAGTTGACCGTGTAAAGCAAAACCACGGATAACGGGGTCAACTGTGATCAAGTCCACAGGTTTGCTTCTCAGAGTGGAACGTGATGGGGATGAATCGCTCTCGATGAGGGGCAGGCTCCAGTCTTTCCCAGACACTCTGCCTCTCACGCCCATGTATGTTTGTCCACTTGGGAACCCAGAGCCTGGCAGGGGGCAGACCAGCATTTGTTGGAGGCACGTGACTAGAAGGCAAAAGTTTCACCCAAGGATGATATTAATATTAATATCTTTACTTCACTGTCTGACCAGACAGCTAGTGTGAGGGCCTCTGAAACAAATATTTTTATCTTTCCATTTATCTGAGAATTGGCTGATTTTACTTTAAAACAATGGCTCTTAAAATTTAGTGTGCATAAGAATGACATGTGTACGTCTTTAAATACAGATTCCTTAACTCAGCTCTTAGAGATTTTGATTTAGTAGGTCAGTTATAGGGCCCAAGAATTAAGTCATCCCACAAATATTTACTGAGCACTTACTATGTGCCAAACACTGTTAGGAGGGCTGGAGTACCAAGGATTCCACTCTCTAGGGCTTATATGCCAACGAGGGAGACAAATAATAACATAGTTAATAGACAAACATGCATAGAAATTTGCATTCTAACAAGCGCCCTGGGTGATTCTGCAGTGGATAGGCCTATGTCCACATGTTGAGAACCATTACTTTAGAAATGAAAGTTTTAGCCTCGCAGGCATTTAAATGGCTGTGTAACATTCTAGCCAAGTACTTTTCATGTGGCCCATGGTTTTGAGCCATCGTGCTTGTAGGGAAGTGAGCAGACGGAGCCCCAGATGTGGCACTGTATGTTCCCTGCCTGCCCCTGTGCTGTGGGGTGAGAGAACACTGGGCGACAACCAGCAGGCTCCTCTGAGGATTAGGGGCTGTCTGGCCACTCCTGGCTTTTTCATACAAGTGTCTCCTAATGCAAGGCAGCTTTGGATGGCAGCTGTTGCATCCTGTATGTCTGGTCTAACAGTATTTCCATAGCAAGAATTATATTTTTAATGTTTACACATCCAGCCTTTAGGCTGACAATTAAGTCACAACTGATGCTTTGTAATGCTGTTAGTTGTTTGTGTGTAAGACTGGACTGCCATGCAAGTGAGGACTGTTGAACCAGACTGTTGCTTTGAATGTGGCTGTTTTACATTAAAATTCCTGATTAGCAATAGCCTTTCAAAATTCACATGATGCTACAGGGTCACATAACTTCATAAAGTTGCCTGGGCAAAATCCTACACTGCCAGTGAGAGTTGCCAGCAGGATAAAGCTGCACTTTGTGGGAAGAAGCAAAAGACATAGATTATACCTTGTATGGACTTTTGACCCAGATTCATGGCTATCTTCCATGGCTCTGAAGGAGAAAGCGATCTATCTTATCAAAAGGAGCACATTAGTGGAGAGTGTACACCTCTAGGCAGGCATCCAAATGGTCACATATGAGGTGCTTGAGTCTTTGGTGACCCAGATCACTGGCCTTGCTGAACCTGCAGTAATTCCACCAGCCTTTCCTAGGAGAGCAGAGGTTGGCTCTGTTCACAGAGATTCGTGTGCAAAAAGGAAAGGCTCCTTGAATCCTTCCTGTTAGAAACTGACTAATGTTACTATCACTGGTAATAACAACACTACTGGCAGCGATAATGAATGGCCAGTTTTAGAAACTACTGCACTATAGCTTAGTCCAGCATCTCTGCTCCTCACGCCAATTTACAGGAGAGTTATTATCATTCAAACTTTGTAGGCAAGGAGATCGAGGATCGGAGAGGCAGCTGAATATGGCTAAAAGCTTGCAACAAAGAGACGGAATAACTCAGTTGTGTACCAGATCTTATACTAACTGTGTACTTGAAGAATTAAGTTCTTCCTTTTACTCATTTATAAAATGATGATAATAGTCCCTGCTTCACAAGGTTTACATGGGAATTAAATGAGATAGTTAAGTATAAAACACTATAAAGCATTAAT